ATCGCATCTCATTTAAATTTTGTAAGGATGATGAATTTGAGATTTAATCCTTAGTTAGCATAAAATGGGAATTGAGAAATCACTAAACTGTTTTTAAAAAATATGAAACATTTTTAGATAGATTTTAGACGTTATCTTTTTATCCGTTACTTGAACAATTATTAGTCGCAGTTAGTTTAGTTGGTTATTATCCAACATGGCAGATATACCTGGTGATATACCACAACGTAAGTATATATGCAACAAAAAATATTTCACAAAATATTTAATATATCATTTATAATTTGTTATTATAATTATTACATACGATAACTATAATTATTACATATGATAACTAATTCAAGTGTGCGAAGAATCACTTTTAATTTAGTAATATGTTTGTATTTATATGTAAGGTTATATTATATTGTGTTTTTAATTTCAATATTTGTTTCAATGATTTAAAAGATAAGCAACATCTTCAAATGTACCTGCTTGAATTGTTTAAATTATTATAATTGTTGTAATAATGTTTTTTATAGAAATTGAATGTAATAATTCTATACATCTAGCATGAATGTAACATATTAGTAAAACCTTATTTGTTATATAGTGGATAAGTAATAACATTTTTATAGATTGTCCTGGTACTGCAAATAAAGATGCAGGGAAGGTATCAATATGCGCTGGTTGTCCAAATCAAATGATATGCGCGTCTGGTATTGTCAGACAACCGGATCCTACTATAGATCTTGTTAAAGAAAGGCTTTCCACAGTTAAAAATAAACTAATGGTGTTATCTGGTAAAGGGGGAGTTGGTAAAAGTACTATAACGTCATTAATATCCAGATTCTTGGCAGCAAGCAATGCTGATATAAATGTATGTATCTTTCTAACATAAAAATTGTGAGAAATAATTATTTTAAACTTTTATTTTATGAAGTATTATCTATACATTTTTATGCCATATGTTTTACAATATAAACTAAATGTTATCTTAGTTAATATTATATTAAAAATGCTTACCTTCCTTCTTGTAGCAAGAACATCCATATTGTTTTCTATATATATATCAACAGAGCAATTTCTAGCAATCATTATAGTTTATAGTATACAGTTCATGCTAAAGAATATACTTACACTCTTTTACTTTTATATATATATAACAAATATTTTATATATAATATAAAATATATATATATATATATATATATATCATACATTTATTACATTATCCTATAGCAGTATTTTATTTGATCATTGATTATATATTAAGCCTTTAATATTCTATATGATGTACTTGTAACCTTAAGTATAAGTAAAGAAATTGTTTATAACATATATAAAGCTCAATTTTATAGATTTTTAATTTTGCTGAATGATAATTTAAAATAACAAATTTTGTAGGTTGCGATACTAGATATTGATATTTGTGGACCATCTCAACCAAGAGTATTAGGTGTGATAGGTGAACAAGTTCATCAAAGTGGATCAGGATGGTCGCCAGTTGTAAGTTTTTATAGACAGAAATAAATTCAGATAAATATGTAGTACCATATTTGGATATAGTAAGGTTATACAGGGTGTTTCTATAATTGAGTTGTAATATTGTTCTAGGTAAAGTTAGAATAAAATAGTAAAGTAAAATTTATTGTTTAACACACTCTATTATAAATAAGACTATACAACTTTTGTCATAACGGCACTAGTGTAGTTGCAAAGTACAATTTCTTTTTAATGGCATCTCAAAATGGTTTTGGGAAAAGTCATTTTGGGAAAACTCAACACTTTTCAGCATGTTTTACTTTCTTTCAAAGTTCTTGTTAGAAAGTTGGAATCAAACTTTAGGAGTATGTAACATTCATAAAAAAAAGAATACTAATAAATGTGAATGGAAATATCATTAATTACGAACTTATATTTTCAAATATGAATCTATATAAAGTTAATAGAACTCGTTTATTAATGTTGCTTCTCTTTTTGTAGTATATAGAAGACAATTTGTCACTAATGTCTATTGGATTTTTACTTACAAGTCCAAGTGATGCAGTGATATGGAGAGGACCCAAAAAAAATGGTATTTGATTTATAGCTACTTCTGTTTTCCATATATGTACACATTTTTATTAACAATAATAATAATAATTTTTACTATTATTCATATACGTTCTTGTTCATTTTATTATTTCTAGGAATGATTAGACAATTTTTATCAGAAGTAGATTGGGGTTCATTGGATTATCTTATTTTGGATACACCCCCTGGTACATCGGATGAGCATTTATCAGCAACTTCATATCTTAAAGATGCTGGCATTACAGGAGTAATAATAGTAACAACTCCACAACAGGTTGCTTTATTAGATGTGAGAAAAGAAATTGATTTTTGCAGAAAAGTGAATATACCAATTTTAGGTGTTATTGAAAATATGAGTATCTTCATGTGTCCTAATTGTAAAGTAAGTATGAAAAAGATAATATTAAGTTGATTAGATAATGTTACTGTAATTTGAATTGTTATTGTTATTTTTATGAGCACCTTTTTCTTATGCAGAATTCTGTAGAAATATTCCCAGCATTAACAGGTGGTGGTTATGCAATGGCTAAAGAATTGAATATAGAATTTTTGGGTTCTCTACCATTGGATCCACTTTTGGCTAAGTGTTGTGATGAGGGAAAAAATTTTTTAACGGAACTACCAGAATCACCAACTATTTTGACATTACAGACGATTGTTCAAAGTAAGTTTTTCTAAGTGACACATATTTTTGTATGGCGTTTGTATTGTGCAAATTAATCTTTTTTATTTCAGAAATTATTGAACAATGTGAAAAAATAAAAATCAACTATGAGATTGATATAACTTAAAAGAAAAAATGTGATATTTATATTACAAGAACATGTATGTGTGTATTAAAATTGTGTAAAAAATGTAAAATATTGTTTTCTTTTCTTTCTTAATATATTTTATACATTTAATAAGTGTCCATTCCTTTTAGTATACTTTGCAGTCTATATAAGTATGATAATGCGCGATATGATGTGTTTAAAATTTTGTAATGATATATTTGTATAGAATGTAGAATAAAGTAAGCATATTTAACCATTTATAACTATTTGAATTACTTCATGATGAATACAATAAGAACTAGGCCACTATACATTACAGCACTACTATAAGCACTAATTATAGTAAATAATATGTCAATAAGCATAATATAAAATAGAAATAAGTATAATTATTACTACATGTTAATTATTAATTAAATAATTATCACTTGATTTTGAAACGTATATATGCACAATGCATATACACATAAGGTATTAAAAACTAATTTGTAATATTTATGTCGGAGAAGGGTCAGGAATAAGGTTGTGGGCGTATGATAAATCTTCATTGGAATTGGCCATCGTCGTGTTATAACGAAGGTACGGTCTGTTAATACGGGTATGGATACTACCGACTCGACAATCAACCGCGGCGATTGGACACTCGCGATACTAGTGATGTTGGTCTTAGGTTCAATAACGAATCCGCGGTCAACGGGATGATAGATGTACGTGCTCACAAAAATCTAAGTCGGACTCTTTGCGAAAACGTGGAATATCCACCGAGCGTACAGACACTAAGTAACTCGCTAATACGACCTCACGAGAGAATGACTCTCCGTCGCGGTGATGCTGCAGAGGAAAACTATGATGGGGTGTGTTTGAGGACACGAGATCATCGGATTCGTCGAGGATAGCCTTCGTTCAGAAGGTGAGGGAATTTGGCGTTGCTGCTAATTGGTCAATCTCCATATCGGTGGTTAGAAAAAGATG